GGAAAAGAATTAAGTGCTCCAACCAAAAGATAGAGTGGGTGAAAGGATAAGAAAACAAGACTCCTACATATGAAAAGAAAAGGAATGGAAAAAGATATTGCTTTGATGGACTTCGAAGGTATTTAAGTCAGACAGAGAAAGATAAACTCTATATGATTTCACTTATATGTGGAATCTAAGGAATAAAAAGAACAAACTAATCAAAAACAGACTCAAATATAGTGGACAATTTGGTGACAGGGCAGGGGATTTGGGGGGCTGTGAGAATGGAGTGAAAGGTTAAAGAAGAACAAATAAGTAGCCGATAGATGGTCACGGGGATGGGGAACACGGCATAGGGAATGCAGTTAGCATTAATACGTTGGCTAGGTGGAGGGTCAGGGAAGGGAGGGAGCAATTGGGGGGATCATTTTATGAACTATATAGATGTCTAACCAATGTACTGTACACTTGAAACTAATTAAAATAAAAATAATAATAATTTTAAAAAAGGAAAAAAAAAAGACGAAAATGGAGACTGAGCATAGACCAGAAAGAGCCTTGAATGCAAAACCTAGATGTCTTCTCTACATCAGAGGTAACAAGGAGGTGTTGAAGGTTCATTAGCAGGAAAATGACCAAGGTAATGTCAAGTTTAAGGCCCTTGAAATCTTGCCCCCAAAGGAGCTCCATCTCCTGCCTCTCACCTCCTTTCCCATGTTACCCTCTAACAGTTCCCCATGCACACCAGGCAAATTCTCACCTCACAGCCTTTTTTCATGCTAGAATGCTTTGCTGCCATCACCTCAAAGCTCTATTCTACTAATCTTTTAAGATTCAGACATTTCAAGTGCCTCTCCTTATGTCCAGCCTGGCCCAGGAATCCCATTTCTGGCCTCCCTAGCCTCCTGGGCTTCCATCTCTGCCTCAACCCTGAAGACACCATTCCATAATTGGCTGGTTATGTGTCCATAGCCTATCACCACACAGAGAGCTCAGAAGGGCCAAGACTCAGAACTAAGTGGGAACTGAGTCCACAGCATATGGCTCAGGGCCAGGGCAAGGGTAGGGTCAGTAATGTCTACTGAATGAATGAACAATCTTCGGTGCTTCAAGAATACTATTTTTACTTTTCCAAGAAGGAAGCTGCCCTGGGCCAAAAGACCAGCATTGGTTGGCTGGCTGAACACAACCACAGTCAGGAGTGAGGCCAAAGGCCTAGAGGGAGCCTTACCAGGTTGACTGCATCCCAGTGGTCAATGGGGCGGTGGGCTGTGTTCAGGTCACCGAGAATGATCACATGGCTGAAAAACATTAACATGGATTATCAACTGGTCATTGAAGAGAGAGAAGCAGTAGTACTGGCCCATCTATTTCCTCCTGGACCCAAGAGCTCAGATATGCCACCTCACATATTGAGGCCAATGTAAGAGCCAACAGCAACTCATAGCATCCTACTTCATCAATCATACCATAACCTTGATGCCTTTTACACCTGACCAACCCAATTCTGACCTCCAAAGATGATATCGTTCCCTGTTTGACATGACTGTCTCACTGACCTCTGCCTAATGGCATCTTTCTGGTCCTTCAAAGTTGAGCTCAGATACTACCTCCTCTAGGAAGAGTCCCTTGGTTACTCTAACCACCCTCACTTTCCTGTCCTTCCCTGAGATAACACTTTTTATTTGCTCCCAGGCACTTTATCTTCCTCATCTCATTTCATCCTTAAAACTATTCTATGAGGTAGGGATTCATACATTCATTCGGCAAAAGAGAAAATAGAGGCAGGACTACCTCTGGGGCTCTCAGTAAGTAAAAAGAGGTGGTAGGATAGGTATCTGAACACAAAACTCATATTTATGTCTTCCTCACAGCTCTTAGAGAGCAGGGCCTATTCAGCTAGGCATGCCGGTGTCTGCGACTAAGCTGTGAAGAAACTCAAAAGACAAAGATCCCAAGACAAACTCAAGGAAGCCTTGCTGCCCAGGCTTGCAGTACCTGCCAGCTGCCAGGAGGGCTTCTGCTCGGATCTGCAGCAAATGATAGAAGCGCATCTTAAAGGCTAGCCGCTCAGGCTTCCCAGGGTCCACATGGGGACAGTACACGTTGATTAGGGTCAAGGTCTTCTCCTTCCCTTCCCATGTGCTGTGGATTAGAGACCCCCCCCAAAAAAAAGGAGTCATTTTCAAGCCTCTGCTCCCCACACCACATGGCTTACACTTAATGGTTGTCTGTGGGATGAACACAGACAGACATGAATGAGCTGGCATGCACAGGACTTGGGGACTATGGATGAGGCAAGGAGAGGGGCATTTGAGATGACACACAGGTAAACCAGGTGATGGTGCTGCCATTCTCAAAGATAGGACACCCAGAAAGAGAGTAGCTTGGGGCAATGAATTCAGCACTGGCTAAGTTGCTTTTGGAGTGCCTCTGGTAATAAGAGAGCTGGACCTACTGGTCATCCACCCACTGCACAGACGGGGGGCTCAAGGCTCAAAGGGGAACAGGATTTGCCCAGGGTCACATAGTGAGTAGTCTAGCTAGAACTAAAGTCCAGGAAATGCAAGTTTGGGAAGTTTTCCACCGTGAATGCATGTCTAGCCTCAGAATCACCACGCTTACAGAGTAGAACCAGCAGTGCTCAGTGACAGGGTAAGGGGGGCTATTACCGGATCTTGTGCTGTGTGAGGAGGGCCCGACCCTCACTATCCAGAGCCCGAAGCTCCTCTTGGGTGAACGCATCCATGTTTCCATAGCAACCCACATTCCCGTGCTGAGTGGCAAGCAGGCCACTCAGGCCTTCTTCAGCAGCCACTGGGGTAGCACTGTCCTTACAGAAAGTGGCTACACCTGGGGACAGACAGAGTACTCTGAACAGGCCTGGCAACCAATAGCCTGTTGCACAGCCTGCTGCCCCCACTGAGTCATCTTCATCAAGTGTGGCTGTATTGACAATTCTCCTAACTCAAAGGCCATTGATAGTTCCATAGAGCCTGGGGCAATTCTACTCAAACCCTGGTGTCTTGATTCCTTCATCTACAAAAGCCACAGAATTATAACAACTAATATTCTAAGTGTTTGTACACAGATATAAGAAGTGTTCAAAAGATGTTAGCTATTATCATTCCAATGTGAACTAATTAGGTTAATCCTTGTAATAGCCCTAGGAGGTAGGCATTATCCCCATTTTCCAGCTCAGGAACCTGAGGCATAAAGAGATTAATTTGTCAGAGGGTACACAGCTAGGAAGTGAGCTAGGATTCAAACTCAGGCAGTCTGGCTCCAGAGCTCAAGCACCACACTATTGTGCTTCTGAGATTCAATAGGATAATTTTATCCTTCACATAATTCTATATGGCTTTAGCTCTGTGGACTAAAAGCCTAAATTTCTTATTACCCTCTAATCATATATTGGAAACCCTTTCCCCCTATCTGCCTCCATTATTAATTTAAAGTCCCCAGAAAATCCCATTTACCAGAATAGCCACTACGATTGCGGCTGAAGCTGAAATAGGAGTTATAGCCCTCAATGATAGCCAGGGGCTCTGTCAGCACATCCCCTGGAAAAAAAAAGATATAAGATTATGTCAGAGATAAAACTAAGACCCAGGACACACAAAGGCCTAGAATTACAGTTGTAGGTTAATTATTTATATACATCAGAGTCAGAGTTGAGAAAGAAAATGAAGTATCTACGATTAGAGGAGGAGCTAGAAAGGTGTGGGCTAGAGAGGGAATATCAGAATTAGGAGGGAGGAATCTTTACAATGAAAGGTGGAGAAATCAGGTGAGAGGAGATGAGGTGAGTAGGTGACAGGAGGGAGCTAGGAGTGGGAAATGGGGATCTGAGCTGAGGGTAGAAGGTAGGAAAAGAGTGAAGTAGAGGATCTGAACTGGAGAGATGGAAGGAAAAGTAGTTAGGGGGTCTCAGAAGGGAGTTGCGTGGGGTAGGGAAGGAATCAGGGGAGTGGGGGGGTGGAAGATGGGTAGGAAGGAGAGTTAATTAGGAGGTCTAAGCTTGGGGTGGGGCCTGAGGTAAGAATGATGAGATGTGCTGACCTGGGGAGAAGAGATGGGGGTAGAGATAGAGGACACCAGGGATCTGACTTGAAGCTGTAAAAAGACGAAATTAAGGAGTCTGACCTGGGAACAAAAATGGGGTAGGAATTAAAGGATCTGAGCTCAGGGTAGGAAGGAGGAATTGGGGACTCTGACTTGGGAGTGAGAAATGGGACAGTGTATGGAAGGAAAAAATTAGGGGGACTGAGCAGGGGCAGGAGAATGAATGGGAGTTAAGAGGATCTGAGTGAGGATGGAAGTTGCAAGGGGGAGGGAATTAAGGTTCTGCTGAGGACAGGAGATGTAGTGGAAATTCAGAGATCTAGCCGAAGTGAGAAATAGGGGCTTAAAGAGGAGGGGATCAGGATTCTGAATTGAGTCTAAGGGGAGGCCTCTGAAGGCAGAGAAATGAGTAAGTGAAATGAGATGGAGCAGGGGCTGGGAAATTTAGCATGAAGGGGAAAATATGGTAGGAATCTTGGATTCTTGAGCGCTCACTGGTCACTTTGGTCTCCTGGAGACAGACGATGTCAGCATCCAGCTTGTCCAAAATGCGCCCCATGGCCATGGCGGTACAGTTGTTGGGCTCCTCGTAAACCACCCCCTGGAGGGGACTTCGGATCCCATTAATGTTCCAGCTCACCACGCGCAACATCTTGACAACAAAACGCAACACCTCCCAAACTGCGCCGAACCTAAGGGCAAGAGAACCGCCGGACCCTCGGAAGACGTACAGGCCCGGCCTTCCGCGCGCTTTTGCGCAGGCTTTCTCGTGCGTGCGACGAAAGAGTCGGACGCACGTGGGGCGGGGCTTCGAGCCCCTCAGTTCCCATTGGCGAGAGGGGCGGAAGCTGAAGGGGGCGGTGCAGATGCCTAGAAGGAATGAATGGCGGGAGAAAGGCCTCCAGTTTGGGTCTTGATCTTTTCGCCTACGAACCTTAGTTTGCGTTTCTGCCCTGCTCAAAAGTCCCTTTGGTACTTCCAATTACTTACAAGTGGAATTTGGCCACTTTTTAAACAGAGGAACCTTGTTCAAAACCGCGCAGCGACCGAAGCCCCGCCTCCAGTGTGAAAGACCGCCCCGCAAGCGCGCAGATGGCTGCGGGCTGCGGCCCTAGGAGTAGCTGACGTAACTGCTTCCGTGGGAGGGTGACGCGCGCAGGGAACATCGCCGCCAGAGGAGGGAGCAGTAAGAAGTGCTCTGACAGAATAAGACTTAGGAGAGGTCCACTGGCTTTATTGGGCAGGGTCTAGCGGTGGGTAGAGGCTGTCTCAAGCCCGTCCTGTAGTCATTATTTATCTTGGGCCTTATGGCATCCCTAAGGACATGGCCTGACACATACCTTCTCTTGAGTCCATTTCTCAGTTGAGTAAAATCGAGGCTCCGAGAATTTAAGTGAGCTACCCAAGCTCCAAAACCGCACTGTCTCCCAGTGTCGCCCATAGCTCTTCCATATGCATTATCTCATTCTCAGGACAACCCTTTAAGGAGTATTAAGGCTAAGTAAGAGAGTTTGAGTGAATTCTCCCCAGTCTTACAGAAGTGGTAGAGCCAGGATTCAAACCCTTTCCTAATCAGCTCAAGGAATATTTTCTGGAGTAAGTTTTTCCTAACCACACCTCCCTGATTAGATCTTTTCCTCTGGGCCCGCACTGCACGCTATGGTCCATCTGTCACAGCATTTATCACATTGCACAGCTACCATTGATTTCTATTTCTGTCACTAGACTGCCAGCAACTTGAGATAGCAATGACCATGTCTGATTCATCTTGTTAGCCCCATCCCCAAGAGCATCAACAGGTTAGTGGCTTGTTTTGGAGAACACAAAAATAGAAATAATAGACATGTCCAATGTCCAGGAAAAGTCATAACTTTGCATCCTTAGGTTCCTCACCCAGAATTGCAGCATAGTTATTC